TTGGATTTATGTAGATTGCGTGTATTGGTGTTATTATGGGTGTGTGTGTGGGGAGGAATCGGCGTCGTCTCGTCACTCGTGTTAACGCAAACATAGATGCATGCGAAAGAATAGAAAAATGGTCTGATTGTTGACATCATGTATACATTCACGAGAAATATTCTCTACACATCCCATCTTTGAATTTCAGCAACCAAATGCGTATATATGTAGACAACTGCACACATACATATGTCAAGTCCCATAATCACACACACACACACACACACACACACACACACACATATATATATATATATATATATATGTATGTAAATAAAAAGAAAGGACAGTAAGATATATAATTCGGTGTTCTTGTTAGTTTTTATTTTTATTTTTACAAAACAGTGCTTAATGTAAATTTACAGAGCATAAATATTATAAATTAACTGATTTAAAATATGTTTTTTTAGCTTCACGGTAATAAACATGTTTAAAAAATGGAAGCTAAAAACTTTAAATTTATTTATATAATTAAATTAAAAGCATTAGTTCCGTTTCATCTTCAAGCGAATATTGTAAAAAATAAGTTATTCCAATATTCGCTTGAAGATGAAACGAAACTGATGCTTTTAATTTAATTATATAATTAAATTTAAAGTTTTTAACTTCCATTTTTGAAACATGGTTATTACTGTGTAGCGAAAAAACATTTAAAATCAGTTAATTTATAATATATATATATATATATATATATATATATATGTGTGTGTGTGTGTGTGTGTGTGTGTGTGTGAATAAAAAAGGAACACTTATCTTAGGTGACGCGTTTTGTTCTCTGAAAGACTTTAGCAAGGATTTGACGCGGAACCACTAATTTCGTAAATCATAATATAATGGATATAATTTACAAGAACAAAACGAAGAACAAGTTAACATCATAACGCCAGGCAGCGGGGTGGGGGTTGTTGCAGCAGAACTTTCCATTTCCTATGTGGATACCTTAACAAAAGTTGAGTGGTCCGACGCGCCGAATGAGCTTACCCCGCCCTATGCACCAACCGAGGACATTCTCCATCTTCCCGTCTGTACTAGAAAACCCAAGAAAATAGCCATCCGCCCTTGACTGGTCTACTTTTCAATCCTACCGAGTGTCTAGACATCCTTCGCACCGGAAAAAAAAAAGCCTGGAGCTGCAACCGGCTTAATCGCCAATAATCTGGCCACACGGCAGGTAATATTAGTTGACATAATTTAGTTGGTTGATTTCTGTTTAGCGGCAAATCAACACCTCCATCAGTTATTAAATGTCGAAAGTTAAATATTTTGAACAAACTTTTATGGCTTCAGATAAAGATTAAATGTATTGCTGTTCATTGGACGATAAAATTCATTGTTCAGTGTCATAATAAATTCACAAGTCATAATAAATTTGAGCGTCATAATAAATTCGAGGGACATAATAGATTCGAGGGTCATAATAAATTGGATGATCATAATAAATTCGAGAATCATAATAAATTGGATGGTCATAATAAATTGGATGGTCGTAATAAATTGGATGATCATAATAAATTGGATGATCATAATAAATTCGAGACTCATAATAAATTGGATGATCATAATAAATTGGATGGTCATAATAAATTGGTTGGTCATAATAAATTCGAGAATCATAATAAATTGGATGATCATAATAAATTGGATGGTCATAATAAATTGGATGGTCATAATAAATTCGAGAATCATAATAAATTGGATGATCATAATAAAATGGATGGTAATAATAAATACGAGTATCATAGCAAATTCGAGTGTCATAATAAATTGGATGGTCATAATAAATTGGATGGTCATAATAAATTCGAGAATCATAACAAATTCGAGGGTCATAATAAATTCGCGGGTCATAATAAATTGGATAGTCATAATAAATACGAGTGTCATAACAAATTTGAGTGTCATAATAATTTCGAGGGTTATAACAAATTCGATGGTCATAATAAATTCGAGAATCATAATAAATTGGATGGTCATAATAAATACGAGTGTCAAAACAAATTTGAGAATCATAATAAATTGAATGATCATCATAAATTCAAGAGCCATAACAAATTCTAGGATCATAATAAATTCGAGGGTCATAATAAATTCTAGAATCATGATAAATTGGATGATCATAATAAATTTGATGTTCATAATAAATTCGCGTGTCATAATAAATTCGAGGATCGTATTAAATTCGAGAGTGATAATAAAAATATGTGCCCCCCACCCAGAAGAGTACTAGCGTGCGTCCTTCTTTTGTCGGGAAACCACAGTTTGATCTGTCGTGCTATAGCTCACCCTGCCACATAGCCCAGCAAGTTTTAAGTCCCCCTTTATGGTATGCATATTACTTCGTCTGTATTTGTTGGAAAACTCACATGTGCTACCCTCATACATTCGTATCCAAAACATAAACAAAGTAATTTCTTAAAAAAAAAAAAAATTATTTTTAATCCGATATTGTTTCATTGTTTCGTAGTACATAAACATTATTTTTAGTGGATGCACCTATTTGAGTAGACGCCTTGTTTTTTTTTTTTTTTTTTGTTTCTTTGTTTTTTTAATAAACGTGAATTACATCTACCGGCTTGCGCATTCGTGAGTCTTAATAAAAATAATATTGCCCTCATTCTCAGATTGTCATATGTTTCGCTGAGTGGAACAATTTTGTTTGGTCAGCGGTTCCGACAATTACAGAATATGGAGTTATTCCTCTCAGACTTAAATGCCATTTCTTTCGTCTTGTGTGACGAAAAAACAATTTAGTGGAAAGGTGATGAAAGTTCGCAAGCCAAAGAAAATACATTAATGAATGATTATGTCATCAATGTATTTTCTTTTGGCTTCTTGCGAACTAAGAACAAATTTTGTCTCAACATAGCACCTTGTTTTCTTTCTCTTCTGCTATTGGCATCTGATTTTCTATGAAACTGACACTCTTTCCTTCTTTCCGCTCTCTTTATTTGTATAACACGTTTCTCATTCATTATATTCTTCTATTTTTACCTGTCAGTAATTTCTTTCTTTCTTTCTTTCACCCGTTTCTCATCCAGCATATTCGTCTATTCTTATCTGTCAGAAATGTCTTTCTTTCTTTTTTTCTTTTATGCATTCATTCATTCATCCATTCATTCTTTTCAAAACTCCCTTTATGTCTTTTCTTTCTTTCTTTCTTTCTTTCTTTCTTTCTTTCTTTCTTTCTTTAACCGGTTTCTCATTCAGTATATTCTTCTATTCTTAACTGTCAGCAATTCTTTCTTTCTTTTTTCTTTCTTTCTTTCTTTCTTTCCTTCTTTCTTTCTTTCTTTTTCAGGCTTGTATTCCTACCTGCCAGTAATTTCTTTTTCTTTCTTTCTTTCTTTCTTTCTTTCTTTCTTTCTTTCTTTCTTTCTTTAACCCGTTTCTCAATCAGTATATTCTTCTATTCTTAACTGTCAGGTCTTTCTTTCTTTTTTTCTTTCTTTCTTTCTTTCTTTCTTTCTTTTTTCTTTCTTTCTTTCTTTTTTTTTTTTTTCTTTCTTTCTTTAACCGGTTTCTCAATCAGTATATTCTTCTAATCTTAACTGTCAGCAATACTTTCTTTCTTTCTTTCTTTCTTTCTTTCTTTCTTTCTTTCTTTCTTTCTTTAAACCGTTTCTCAATCAGTATATTCTTCCATTCTTAACTGTCAGCAATTCTTTCTTTCTTTTCTTTCTCTTTCAGGCTTGTTTTCCTACCTGCCAGTAATTTCTTTCTTTCTTTCTTTCTTTCTTTCTTTCTTTCTTTCTTTCTTTCTTTAAACCGTTTCTCAATCAGTATATTCTTCCATTCTTAACTGTCAGCAATTCTTTCTTTCTTTCTTTCCTTCTTTCTTTCTTTCTTTCTTTCTTTCTTTCTTTCTTTCTTTCTTTCTTTCTTTTCAAATTTTTTCTCGACTTCCTGTCTGACTCTTCCTCTAAAAATATAAGTTCCTCTCTCAACTGTTTCTTAGACTCCTCCTCCTTCCCTCCTCGAGGGTCCCCCCTCCTCCTCCTCGCCCTTGTCATCTTCTAAGTCCTCTGCCTTCTTTCCTGCCTCTAAGTCATTCTCTTCCTTCCTTCCTGAAGCCAAAATTACTGGCACTTCATCGACATCCCCCTGACCTGACAGGTAGAAATTACGAAAGCTAAAATATAAGATGCTAAATGTGGACAAACGTTCTCGCATGTTAGACTGTGTTGGGTGAATTTGAAAAAACAAATAATGAAGTTAGTGGAGAATAAAAAATCGAGGAAAGGAAAGAAAATAAATAAATAAATAAAAGCCGAAAGAAAGAAAGATTGTCTTGAAAAATTCATGGAAGTTGAAGAATAGTTGGCAGAAAAATTAAACGAACAAGAAAGGGAAAGAAAGAAAGAAAGAAAGAAAGAGAAAAGAAAGAGAGAGAGAGAGAGGGTCGAAGAATAGAAGAGAGAAAGAATTAAACGAACAAGAAAAAACAAAGAAAGAAAAGAAAGAAGAAAGAAAGAAAAAAGAAAAACGATAGAAGGAAGAATAAAGGAAAGAGAAAGAATTAAAAGAAAGAAAGAAAAGAAAAAGAAAGAAAGAAAGAAAGAAAGAAAGAAAGAAGAAAGAAAGAAAGGAAAGAAAGGTTGAGAGCGCTAGGCATGAAGAATAGAAAGAAAGAGAATAAATTAAACGTAAAAATCAAAGAAAGAAAGAAAGAAAATAAATAAATAAATAAAGAAAGAAAGAAAGAAAGAAAGAAAGAAAAGTTGAGCGCGGTAGGGTTGAAGAATAGAAGGAAGGAGAAAGAATTAAACGAACAAGAAAGAAAGAAAGAAAGAAAGAAAGAAAGAAAGAAAGAAAGAAAGAAAGAAAGAAAGAAAGAAAGAAAGAAAGAAAAGAAAAGAAAAGAAAGAAATGTTGAGAGCGGTAGGGTCGAAGAATAGAAGGAAAGAGAAAGAATTAAACGAACAAGAAAGAAAGAAAGAAAGAAAGAAAGAAAGAAAGAAAGAAAGAAAGAAAAAAGAAAGAAAGAAAGGAAAGAAAGGTTGAGAGCGCTAGGCATGAAGAATAGAAAGAAAGAGAATAAATTAAACGAAAAAAGAAAAGAAAAGAAAAGAAAGAAAGAAAAATAAATAAAAGGAAAAGAAAGAAACGAAAAGAAAGAAAAAAGAAAGAAAGAAAGAAAAAAGAAAGAAAGAAAGAAAAGAAAAGAAAAGAAAGAAATGTTGAGAGCGGTAGGGTTGAAGAATAGAAGGAAGGAGAAAAAATTAAAAGAAGAAGAAAGAAAAAGAAAAGAAAGAAAAGAAAAAAGAATGTTGAAAGAAAGAAAGAAAAAAAAGAAAAGAAAGAAAAATGTTGAAGAAAGAAAGGGTTGAAGAAAGAAAGAAGGAAAAGAAAGAAATTAAACGAACAAGAAAGAAAGAAAGAGAATAAATTAAACGAAAAAAGAAAGAAAGAAAGAAAGAAAAAAGAAAGAAAGAAAAGAAAAGAAAAGAAAGAAATGTTGAGAGCTGTAGGGTTGAAGAATAGAAGGAAAGAGAAAGAATTAAACGAACAAGAAAGAAAGAAAGAAAGAAAGAAAGAAAGAAAGAAAAAAGAAAAGAAAAGAAAGAAATGTTGAGAGCGGTAGGGTCGAAGAATAGAAGGAAAGAGAAAGAATTAAACGAACAAGAAAGAAAGAAAGAAAGAAAGAAAGAAAGAAAGAAAGAAAGGGAAAAGAAAGAAAGAAAAAAAAAAGAAAAAAGAAAGAAAGAAAAGAAAAAGAAAAGAAATGTTGAAAGAAAGTAAGAAAGAAAGAAAGAAAGGAAAAGAAAGAAAAAAAATTAAAGAAAAGAAAAGAAAGAAAAGAGAAGAAGAAGAAGGAAGGAGAAAGAATTAAACGAAAAGAAAGAAAAAAAAGAAAGAAAAAGAAAAGAAAGAAAGAAAAAAAAAAAAAAGAAATGTTGAGAGCTGTAGGGTTGAAGAATAGAAGGAAAGAGAAAGAATTAAAAACGAAAGAAAGAAAGAAAAAGAAAGAAAGAAAAGAAAGGTTGAGAAGAAAGAAAGAAAAGAATAAAAAGAAAGAAAGAAAGAAAAAGAAAGAAAGAAAGAAAAAGAAAGAAAGAAATGTTGAGAAGAATAGAAGAAGGAGAAAGAATTAAAGAACAAGAAAGAAAGAAAGAAAGAAAGAAAGAGAAAGAAAGAAAAGAAAAGAAAGAAAAGAGAAAAAAAGAAGAAAGAAAAGAAAGAAAAGAAAAGAAAGAAAGAAAGAAAGAAAGAAAGGAAAGAAAGAAAGAAAAAAGAAAGAAAGAAAAGAAAAGAAAAGAAAGAAATGTTGAGAGCGGTAGGGTTGAAGAATAGAAGAAAGGAGAAAAAATTAAAAGAAGAAGAAAGAAAGAAAGAAAGAAAGAAAGAAAGAAAGAAAGAAAGAATGTTGAGAGCGGTAGGGATGAAGAATAGAAGGAAGGAGAAAGAATTAAACGAACAAGAAAGAAAGAAAAAAGAAAGAAAGAAAGAAAAGAAAAGAAACAAAGAAATATTGAGAGCGGTAGGGTTGAAGAAAGAATAGAAAAGAAAAGAAGAAAGAAATAAAGAAAAAAAGAAAAGAAAGAAAGAAAGAAAGAAAAGAAAGAAGAAAGAAAGAAAGAAAAAAAAAAGAAAAAAAAGAAAGAAAAGAAAAGAAAAAAAGAAATGTTGAGTGCGAAGTTGGGATGAAGAATTAGAAGGAAAGAAAGAAAAGAAAAGAAAGAAAGAAAGAAAGAAAAAAGAAAGAAAAAGAAAGAAAGAAAGAAAGAAAAGAAAAAAAAGAAAAGAAAGAAATGTTATGTAGGGATGAAGAATGAAGGGAGAAGAAAAGAACAAAAAAAAGAAAGAAAATGAAAGAAAGAAAGAAAGAAAGAAAGGAAAGAAGAAAGAAAAAAAGAAAGGAGAAAAGAAAAGAAAAGGAAGAAATTTGAGAGGAGAAGAATAGAAGGAAAGAAAAATTAAATGAAGAAAGAAAGAAAGAAAGAAAGAAAAAATAAAAGGAAAATAAAGATGAGGGGAAGAGAAGGAAAGAAAGAGGAAAGAAATAAAAGAAAGAAAAATATAAAGAAAGAAAGAAAAAAGAAAAAAAGAAAAGAAAAAAAAAGAAAGAAATGTTGAGACGTGAAAGGAAGAAAGGAGAAAAAAGAAGAAGAAGACGAAAAAAGAAAAGAAAAAAGAAAGAAAGAAAGAAAGAAAGAAAAAAGGAGAGCGGTAGCATGAAGATGAAGGAAGGAAAAGAAAAAGAAAGAAAAAAAAAGAAAAAAAAGAAAGAAAGAAAGAAAAGAAAAGAAAAAAAAACAGCGATAGGTTTGAAAAAAAAAAAGGAGAAAGAACAAAACGAAAAGAAAGAAAGAAAGAAAGAAAGAAAGAAAAGAAAGAAAGGAAAGAAAAAGAAAAATGAAGGAAGTAAAGAATTAAAAAACAAAAAGAAAAAAAAAGTTTCAAAAAATAGAAAAGAAGAGGAGAAAAAGGAAAAAAAAGGAAATGAAGAAAATAAGAAGAAAAAGAAGGAGGAAGAAAGAAGAATTTGGGAGAGAAGAAGAAATGAAGAAGAGGAAGAAAAATAGGAAAAAATGAGGGGATGAAGGAAGTAGAGGAAGATAAAAAGAAAATATAAATAGAGGGGAGAAAAAAGAACGGTCACGTGAAGGAAGAAGAAGAAGAAGAAGAAGACGAAAAAAGAAAAAGAATTAGAAGAAGTAGAAAAAGGAGAAGCAGAAGATGAAGAAAAAGAAAAAAGAAAAGAAATAAAGAAGAAACAGAAGAAGGTGAAAAAAAAAAGAAAAAAAAAAAGGAGAAGAAGCAAAAGAAGAAAAGGGAAAGGAAGAGGGAGAAAAAGAAGAAGAAAGAAACAAAGGAGAAGAAACAGTAGAAGAAGAAGAAAAAGAAGAAGAAAGAAAGAAAGAAAGAAGAAGAAGAAGAAGAAGAAGAAGAGGAAGAAATAGAAAAAATGATGAAAGAGAACGAGATACATAAAATGAAGGAGAAGAAAGAGGAGTAGAAGTAGAAGAAGATGTAGAAGAATGAGGCGTGAAGAAGAAGAAGAAGAAGAAGAAAAATAATGAAGGAGAACGAGAAACAAAAGATGAAGAAGAAGAAGAAGAAAGAGGAGTAGAAGAAGATGAAGAAGACAGAGAGGAGAATGAGGGGTAAAAGAAGAAGAAGAAGAAGAAGAAGAAGAAGAAGAAGAAGAAACACAAAAATAATGAAGGAGAACGAGAAACAAAAGATGAAGAAGAAGAAAGAGGAGTAGAAGAAGATGAAGAAGACAGAGAGGAGAATGAGGGAAGAAGAAGAAGAAGAAGAAGAAGAAGAAGAAGAAGAAGAAGAAGGAAGAGGAGAAGCAGAAGAATAGGGGTGTGGATAGACCATGAAATAAGGTCATCGTGACCTGAACGAGAGTCATCAGACCACAGTTGTTTCTACCTGTTTTCCCCACTTCTCAGCCAAGTTAATTACAATATTTCGTATTCTCTTCCTGATGGGGAAAAGGAAGGCCCGCGAGTGGGCACGCCCTTCTCTCTCTGGATCTCTTTGTCTGTCTGTCTGTCTGTCTATTTGTCTGTCTATTTGCCAGTCTGTCTCCACCCCCCACAATGAGGCTGCGATGGATAAATTGTCGTCTAAATTACGCAAACCTAAAAATAACACTGTCATCTCGTTTTAACAGATATATTTACCAAACTTACACAAAAAAGATTATCTTGAAATGCTAAAGAGTAAATATATTCAATAAAATCACCCTTGGCTTCAATCAAGCCTACCCCCCCCCCGCCGCCCCCGAAGAGTTTGGAAACCTCTGTAACTCTTCTGAGCGGACTCCTTGATTCAGTCGGTGAATGCTGCCATGACTTCTGTTCGTTTTTTTGGTGTTATAAGGAGTTTTGTTGGTCGCTTGAACTCTTTGTCTGTCTGTCGGTCTATTTGTCAGTCTGTCTCCTCACACACACACACACATAAGGAGTTTTATTGGTCTCTCGCTCAGCTACGCCCCATACATAATAATCAAGGTGGGTGTAAGGCTGGGGAGTTAGGGTGACAGATCTAAGGGGTGATGTGATCCCAGAAATTGTCTGACAGCCATGACTGGGTTCTCCAGCTTGTGTGGCATGGTGCAGAGTCCTGTTGCCAGACGTCAGGACTACTAGCAGCCAGCCCCTTGACCCAGGGCGGCACTGCCTCCTCGATGCACTTTATGTAGTCTCTCGTGTTGAGTCTGAGGCCCTCACCAACAAATTCGGGAGTTCTTTTCTTATCAGAACGACCAGAGTGACATTTCCGAGCTGCCGTACCTTCGCAATCACCATTAGACTCATCCAACTCTTTCCGAATCATCTGCACTCTCCTCAGATTGACACCAAAACATTCTGAAATGTTCATATTGGAGCTTCCAGCTCGAATGCCAAGTAGTACAGTATGCTGTTTCCAAATTTGTGGCGGAGGGAATTGCATCATGGTACTCTGTTTTTCACAGACAACTGCCCAACTGACCCTACTAGGGTGATCAGTCAACAAAATCAAAAAGAAACAACGCGCATGCGCGAATTTTTTTTTAAAAAATGGCAAAGGGCGACAATTTACCCATCGCACCCTGAATATGAATTGGATCCGGCAGAATAATGAAATAAGGAACTGGAATAAAATAAAAAAACGTTTATAAATTGAACATGTTTCGATTTTATTTAAGCTTCGTCAGAATGTTTGGGAAATGAATTATGGAAGAGAATTTGAGGTTCTGTATTCTTTGTTTTTTGGTCACCTAATTCCAGTAGAAATCTTTACATTCACTTGCGCGCAAATACCCTTGGGAAAGGCATGAATCCACCCTATCCCAGAGCTATTAGTAAATCATTATTATCACTCCACAAAAATCTTATAATCTAAAAATATTTTCATATATATAACCCGTAGAAAAGAAATCAGTCAGTCAATGAAATACTGATTAGCTACACAGTCATGTTTTTTAGATTTATTTACATTCTCTGGAATAGAAATGGATAGAAACTATCATGGTCACAAAGAGAGGGTTCAGTTTATATATTGATTTTAATATAGAATTGGCCCTCCACTTTATATCCACATTATAATTTCTTGCTTGCTGATAAGCCATTGAAAATGAATCAATCAATCACTGAAATACTGATTAGATACACAGGCATGTCTTTTAGATTTATTTACATTCTCTGGAATAGAAATGGATAGAAACTATCATGGTCACAAAGAGAGGGGTCATTTTATTTATTGATTGTAATGTAGAATTGATCCCTCACTTTATATCAACATAATTTCTGTTGATAATAAAAACGAATCAGTATCAATGAAATACTGATTACTTACACAGGCAAGTCTTTTAGATTTATTTACATTCTCTGTAAGATAAATTTATAGTAAATACCATGGCCACAAAGTGAGGGATCAGTTTATATATTTATTTTAATATAGAATTGGTCCCCCACTTTATATCCACATTAAAATTTCTTTTTTTGATAAGCTGGAAAAAACGAATGAATCATTCAATGTTGATACACAATTCTTTTAGATTTATTTACATTTCTGGAATATAAATGTATAGTATGCCACAAAGTGAGGGATCAGTTTATATATTGAAGTTAATATGGAATTGGTCCCCCACTTTATATACACATTATAATTCACGCTTGTTCATCAAATTCTGATTAGTTTAAATTTCTGGAGTATGCAATGAGGAAGGAAGGCTTGGAAAATCTGATACTCACAGGGCAATCAGAGAGAAAGAAGGACAGAGGAAAGCAGAGCGCGACATACATGATAAGCTTGAGTAAATGGATGGTAGAACAGAGCTTAGGAGAAATAACAAAGAGACAAAATTTAAGAGCTACAAAGGACAGGAAGATGAGGAGGACCATAATCGCCAACGCCCTGAAGGGACACAACTCATAAAATAAGAGGAAACCCGAGTTTTTTCCTCCCTCTCCCCTTCTCCGGTTTTCCCTTTTCCATCTCTTGTGTCTTTCTTTTTCGTTTTCCGTCTCAGTCTTTCCTTGTTTGATCGTTTCTTTCTTTCTTTCTTTCTTTCTTTCTTTCATTTTGAAAACTCCCTTTATGTCTTTTCTGTCTAGCTATCTCTTCTTCTTTTTGAAAATTCTCCTCCTCGCTTTGTTTATCTGGACCTTTCTTTCTTTCTTTCTTTCTTTCTTTCTTTCTTTCTGAAAACTCCCTTTATATCTTTTTTGTCTATCTCCCTTTTCTTCTTTTTTGAAAATTCTCCTCTGGGTTTTTTTTTAGTGTTTTCTTTCTTTCTTTCTTTCTTTCTTTCTTTCTTTCTTTCTTTCTTTTTGAAAACTGCCTTTCTGTCTAAGATTCTGTTTATCTCCCATTTCTTCTTTTTTGAAAATTCTCTTCTTCATTTTCTTTCCTTCTTTCTTTCTTTCTTTCTTTCTTTCTTTCTTTCTTTCTTGATGAAAACTGCCTTTCTGTCTTTTCTGTTTATCTCCCTTTTCTTCTTTCTTGAAAATTCTCTTTCTTTCTTTCTTTCTTTCTGAAAATTCTCCTCCTCGCTTTGTTTGTCTGGATCTTTCTTTCTTTCTTTCTTTCTTTCTTTCTTTCTTTCTTTCTTTCTTTCTTTTTGAAAACTCCCTTTCTGTCTAAGATTCTGTTTAACTCCCTTTTCTTCTTTTTTGAAAATTCTCTTCTTCATTTTCTTTCTTTCTTTGTTTCTGAAAATTCTCCTCCTCGCTTTGTTTGTCTGGATCTTTCTTTCTTTCTTTCTTTCTTTCTTTCTTTCTTTCTTTCTTTCTTTTTGAAAACTGCCTTTCTGTCTAAGATTCTGTTTATCTCCCATTTCTTTTTTTTGAAAATTCTCTTCTTCATTTCTTTCCTTCTTTCTTTCTTTCTTTCTTTCTTTCTTTCTTTCTTTCTTTATTAATTCATCTAACCATCTATCTATCTTGCTACCCGGTTAGGACTGTCGTCAAATGCCACCCGATTCCTTCCCAGCTCCGGTACCTCTTTCCCTAACGCCTTAGCCATCACTCGCCGTTATTACGGTACAATTACGGAGTCATTACATTGATAAGGCCGCCTCTCCCATTCCCGACCCCTCTTTCCATTCTCCAGATCACCCATCTCTCCCACTTGCGTTGGCCATCAGAAATGACCCGAGCCACCCTACTTCCATTCTCGGCTTTTGTCGACGTCAAAGCGCATCGCTTCCCAGTCATTGCATCACCAAAAAGCGCTCATTTAAACTGCAATTTCTTCATGGGCGGACGTTTTGGCAGGAGCTTCGGGCGTTGACGATGGCGTAGGCTAAACAAAGGAAGAGAAATGGAAATAAATGTCGACTTGGAAAATTCTTGTGTGCTGCTTGTTATACATTGGATTCTTGGCAAATTCTGCAAGAAATCATTCATTGCGAGCATTCAGCCGTTCAGTAACTAGATGCACGTTCATCGGTACAAAGAATATATAGAAGTTACAACGTTGCGTGTTTCTTGGTTGAAGTTGCCCGTTCACACATGATAAACAAAGAAAAGGCATACAAAAAGTAAACAAAGAAACAGGCATACTGAGAAAAGATGGACTGTTGTCCTCATTTGTCGCCATATTTATTACAACGTTTCTTTCATATTTCTATATATCTGAGATGAGTATTATGTATTATTGTCACTTTGTCGCCATATTTATTTACAACGTTTCATTATTCTATATTTCTGAGATGAGGTATTGTTGTCCTATTTACATTATTCAGACTATTGTCCTTTCGTCGCCATATTTATTACAACGTTTCGGTCTTTCAGTATCTGTCTATATATCTGAGATGAAGTATTATTATGTTACATTATTCGGACTATTGTTAATGTTTGTCACATATTTATTCAACGTTTCATCTTTCAGTATCGCCATATTTATTACTAGTTAATTATTCGGACTATTTCACCATCTTTGTCACCATATTTATCTGTCCTCATATCTGTTTTCTGAGATGAGGTATTATGTACATTATTTACATTATTCGGACTATTGTCCTCATCTTCGTCGCCATATTTATTACAACGTTTCGGCCTTTCAACGTTTCTGAGATGAAGTATTATGTACATTATTTACATTTTCGGAGTATCTCATCTTTGTCGCCATATTTATTACAACGTTTCTTTCAGTATCTGTCTATATTTCTGAGATGAGAGATGTACATTATTTACATTATTCGGACTTTGTCCTCATCTTTGTCGCCATATTTATTACAACGTTTTATCTGGTTATTTCTGAGGAGTATTATTATTTCATTAATTGTCCTCATCTTTGTCGCCATATTTATTACAACGTTTCGGCCTTTCAGTATATCTGAGATGAAGTATTTGTACACTAGTTACATTATTCGGACTTTTGTCCTCATCTTTGTCGCCATATTTATTACAACGTTTCGGCCTTTCAGTATCTGTTATATTTCTGAGATGAAGTATGGGACTAGTTACATTATTCGGACTATTGTCCTCATCTTTGTCGCCATATTTATTACAACGTTTCGGCCTTTCAGTATCTGTCTATATTTCTATATACACTATTTCTGAGATCATCTTTGTCGCCGTATGTATTACAACGTTTCGCCCATTCAGTACTATATTTCTGAGATTAGGTATTCGTACATTATTTACATTATTTGACTATTCCTCATCTTTGTCGCCATATTTATTACAACGTTTCGGCCTTTCAGTATCTGTCTATATTTCTGAGATGAAGTATTATGTACACTAGTTACATTATTCGGACTTTTGTCCTCATCTTTGTCGCCATATTTATTACAACGTTTCGGCCTTTCAGTATCTGTCTATATTTCTGAGATGAAGTATTATGTACACTAGTTACATTATTCGGACTATTGTCCTCATCTTTGTCGCCATATTTATTACAAACATTTCAGCATCTGCCTATATTTCTGAGTATGTACATTCATTGTCTATATTTTTACAACGTTTCGGCCTTTCAGTATCTGTCTATATTTCTGAGATGAAGTATTTTGTACACTAGTTACATTATTCGGACTATTGTCCTCATCTTTGTCGCCATATTTATTACAACGTTTCGGCCTTTCAGTATCTGTCTATATTTCTGAGATGAGGTATTATGTACACTATTTACATTATTCGGACTATTGTCCTCATCTTTGTCGCCATATTTATTACAACGTTTCGCCCATTCAGTATCTGCCTATATTTCTGAGATTAGGTATTATGTACATTATTTACATTATTCGGACTATTGTCCTCATCTTTGTCGCCATATTTATCGCAAAGTTTCGACCCTTCAGTATCTGTTCGGTCTTCAGGTGGTTGGAATGTCGACCTTAAACAATCTACCTCGGTGGACGAAATAAAGAGTTTGGTTCGACATTCCAACCACCTGAAGAAGGAACAATTTATACAAAGAATTAAATAGCAATATTAATTTGATTAATGGCTGAAATCACTTCGCTAACAGGACTTAATGAGACCTTAACTTTCTATCAATTCCTCGAATAATAAGATCCTCAATTTCGAGTAGATGTCACATGGAAGACACATGCTAAGCAGTTATGACTCTTCTCTCGAGCTGACTCCTTGCTTTGAAAGTCTGCTGGGACTCATACCTTCTTCAGGCTTCAACTGTAACTTATATAAATGATCTGTTGATGAAGATGCTGGAAACAAGGTTGGTTCACTGCATCGCTCCAGTAAGTATCTGCATACTTATACTCTTATCTTTGCAAATACCTGATCAGATAGAAAAGAAATGCAGCCATATCCTCACTGTCTTGGCGTCCCTGTTTTCCAACCTGAAACCCGTTTCTCACAGATTAAACGTCTCAAGCCTCTTGCTGATCTATCACTATTTTGATGACACGTGTTCTGATGAGCTGCATTCATTTTTCCCACCAACCCTAACCCTTACAATTGGGACCCGACATACCACATACACAAAGTTGAATCATCCGCATTTCCTTCGTATTCCACTAGTAAGGAGTAAGTTCCATTTGGACAGTTTCTTTCCAAGAACTGCTGCTTTGTGGAACAGACTCGCGACAGGAAAAGAATAAAGTAAAAGAAAGGGGGGAAGAAGAGAAAGAAGAAGAAAAAAGAATGAAGATAATGAAGGAAAGAGGAAAGTAAAAGAAGCAAAAAGAGAACGAAGAAAATAGAAAAAGAGAAAGGAAGAAGAAAAGGAATAAAGATAATGAAAAAAAGAGGAAGAATTAAAGAGTGAACGAAGAAAAAGAGAAAGAAAACGGAAGAAGAGAAACGAAGAAGAAAAGGAACAAAGATAAGGAAGAAAAGAAGAAAGTACATGAAGCAAGGAGAGAACGAAGAAAAACGAAAGAAAACGGAAGAAGAGAAAGGAAGAAGGGGAATGAATAAAGATAAAGAAAAAGACAGAAGTGTTAGAAAACTGAATAAAAGAAAGGAAGTGATAAATGAAACATAGGAAGAAAAAAAGCAAGATATTCCAAATAGAGAAAGGGAAAAAAAAAAGAGTAAAAAAAATGAAAGCCTGAAAAAAAAAAAAAAAAAAGAAAAAAAAGAGATTGCTGTAAAAAGGAAAGATATAGAAAGAGACAGACAAATAAATCATTGACTGGATTAAAAAAAAAAAGAAAAAGAAAAAAGAAATAAAAAATAAAAAATAAAAGAAAGAAAAAATGATTAAAACGACGAAATATTTTGAACGTAAAGCATAAGTCACTCTTTCAAAGATAAAGTGATAAAAAAAAATAAATAAATAAAAATGAGAACAATTAACTGCCAGGAAGGTGTGCTTTGAAAGTAGATACAATTGTTTGCAAAGAATTAAATAAATAAATAATAAAAAAATAAAAAAAAACAATCAAATAAAATGAATCAAAAAAAAAAAAAAAAAGAGAGAATAGCTGTTGCGAGATTAAAAGGAAGTGACGTCATCATCATCCAGATTACTTCCGTTATATTTTCATTACAAAAGAATTGCTCAGATTCTTTCAGTACGCATGCGCGTGGGTGTCTGCGTATTTTTTTTGTCTCCGTATTGCTTCAAGTGCAACAAGTTAACTATCGGGGGAGAGAGGGCGTAAATGTAAGTGCGACCCAAAAAAATCCGTTGGCGCATTGCGATAGCAAAAATGCCTTCCAGAAGGTAAGGTTTTAAAACAAGCTAAGGATTAAAAAAAAAACAAAAAAAAACGGTTAAGGCTTAACCCCCCTCTAAAAAAAAAACAAAAAAACCCAGGCCAAATGTCGTTAAAAACAATGAAAAGAGCTCAGACGTGTTACATACTATAGAGTCCTCCTATAGGGCTGTGAATACTAGAGATTCTCACAGCAGATGAAGAAGAGACTGACGTGTGGGAAATAACTGAGACATCCAGAAGAGGCATGGCACGTGGAACTAGAACAATCTACCGACGAAATAAACGGTTCGATATTCCAATCACCCGAAGAAGGCCGGAGCGTACAACGGCCGAAACGTTGTGATTATAGCTAGCCAATTCAGTTGTGAATTGGTGACACCTTCTGGAAAACAATTATTTTGCTTAAATTCAACTGACTGAAGCCGAGGCGCCAATAATATTGCCGGTACATCGTTGTATCGTTTTATCAAGAATCTTTAAAAATATATTAGGAGAACCGGGCCACAAGTTGCAGCAATATCCAAAACATGGACGAATGGTAAACTTATAAATATGTCAGACAGATTCTGGAGAGAAAATATGTCTAGTGCGACAAGTGGACCAACTTTCCAAGCAGCTGACCTAGGAATGGATTGAATAAACGTCTTTCCACTTCATGTGAGCCGAGAATGTTAGCCCCAGGACGAATCACTCCCCTGAAGGTTAACATCAGCCACTCATAGGGAAGGAAGAAAGACGTCTCCCAGGCGATTCTATTCTCTTTTCTGCCAGAATAATTTTCCTGTCGGGAATCACAACTACGAGGCGAAATTCTCGTAAAATCTGGTTGCCTCCAAGCAGGCCGATGTCTGCATGCGACGATGAGCGTGAAGCTCAATAAAACTGTCAAATGACATCTCCAAGAATACTAACGTCTTGGGACTGCAAACGACAAATCGATGATCAAGGGTTTTATAATATATATATATATATATATATATATATATATATATATATATATTCCTACCGCCCGGTCCCCTCCCTCCTCCCTTCTCTTGACATGAGTAGAGGCTTACGCCTTGTTTCTTGTTTAGGAATTGTCTCTCTCTCTCTCTCTCTCACTCTGTATCTTCAGTTGCCTTGATCTATCCACTATCCTTCTCCTCATCCTTTCCTCTATCACTCTTATCTGACCTTGCTCCAAATTTTCTGTAATCCCTTGCGTCCTTGGGGGTGGGTTTAAAAAAATTATATTATATATGAATATATATATATATATATATATATATATATATATATATATATATATATATATATATATATATATATATATATATATATATACGTGTATTTTTGACAGTATGTTTTCATTCCGACAGGTTCCGTTGAATAATTTAGAAGCGTTCTGTCTACTCATTTTTGATAAGATAATTTCATATTCGCAAATAAGCTTTTTTGTGTGGCTATTAAAAAAAGGGAGAAAAAACACCTTGTTGGCTCATATTGTATTTATTTCGAGTACTTTCGACACAGCATAATGTCATCATCAGGGTATTGTTAGATATAGAGTAATTATTTCGTGTTCATTGTTGCGAAGGACAAAACTTTTTGTGGTCATCCGAAGATTACCATTTTTATATGTCACGAAAGCTTTGTCATTGCTCGTTGACCGATACCGTTTAAGGGGAGGTAACTAGGTATGCTGTAGAAAAATTTCGGGATTGAGTAGTTGCCAGATAAAAAGAAAAACTATTAATAGCAAGCGCTAACATTTAAAGACTATCTATTGAACGCATTATATATATATATATATATATATATATATATATATATATATATATATATATATATATATTCATGAATTATTCACACAAAAACAAATGCAAAGGTTAATGATTTAATTGGCGAGGAATCCATCGTCGCAAACAATTCAAATAATATATAAAAAACCCCGAACCTGTTATGAATGAAAGATCCTTGTTTCTATAAATTTCTGCTGCATCAGTTCTTATTTTTGCTACAAGCTTTCGTCTGTTCCTACAGACATCTTCAGGTATGGAATAGATGTTGTTCTTGTTTTTTTCTCTTAGTAATAAGAGGACATCGAAAATATATGTGTATTGTATCCGAAATGCTATTGAAAATGAGATATTGGTTTTTGAACGCGCCAAAGCAACGCTAAGTTTGATTTTTGAATTTTTTTTTTTTAAATTTTACTGTCAAAGTGGCATGAACTATATTGTTCAATAATTACAGTAATGTCGCACTTATTAACCAAAAGTCGCACATGGATCAGATATTTAAATTACAATAAACGTGCAATCAATTTACAAATACATGAATTATTCACACAAAACTAAAGCAAATTAAAAATTTACCAGTAAAATAATTTGTTCATTACCATATTTGGTATAAACGCAAACATATTTTAAAAAAAAAAAAATTCAAAATCAAACTTAGCGTTGCTTTGCGCGTTCAAAAACCAATATCTCATTTTCAATAGCAAAACAACAATAACATATATTTTGATGTCTTATTACTAAGAGAAAAAAACAAGAACAACATCTATTATTTAGTGAAGATGTCTAGGAGGAACAGACGAAAAGTGTAAAAAATAACAACTAATACGGCAGAAATTTATATGAACAAGGATCAATTCATTCATAACGGATCTGAGGTTTTGTTTAATATTTGAATTGTTTGTAGAGATGGATGTCTCGCCATTTAAAATCATTAACCTTTGCATTAGTTTTGTGTGAATACCATATGTATTTATAAATTGATTGCACGTTTATTATATATATATATATATATATATATATATATATATATATATATATATATGATGTTGAAAGACCTGAAACCTCTAATGAATCAATGGCTAGTAACATCACTGATGATGTGTACCAAAGCATCAAATAGATGTATTTTTACGAAAAAATTGTGGTTTATACTGCAACTATGGTGAGCAGACCTTAGTTACAGTTTCTGGGAGAGAGAGAGTGTTATCTAGAATGATCAACAATCTGAACAACGCCAACACACTCAAACCCTCGGTCACGATGACTTGTGACTTCGGGTTAGCACAACTATCGACGGCCCCCAAGTCTACCCAATTTCATTTACAAGGCTTGGGTCAACCCGTCGTTTTCAGCCATTTTCCACTGGGATCCAGACCGATAACTTCAGGAAGAAGATCTCCTCCTAGCAAGTCGACCATGTTGAGATTCGAACCCGGATCTCATGGTCAGAAAGGAAAGGTTCTAACCACTTTGCTACGCGCCCATAAATATTTTCTAAAAAAAGAGCATACCATGATGAAAGAAATCGCTAAACTTGATAAAAAACAAAGATTTCTGTTCGAATTTATATATATATATATATATATATATATATATATATATATATATATATATATATATAGATAGATAGATAGATAGATAGATAGATAGATATTCACGAAATAAATTATAACCGAAATGAATCTTGAAGGTTTTGTTTTTGATTACAGTGTAACCCGGATATAAGAGAGTTGTCGGGACCGGAGATGAAGTCTTTTATTTCCAGGTTTCTCTTATATCCGGATTTGGTCTATTTTATATACATTAACACAGGCTCTAATTTGGGACCAGAGAAAATCTCACCTATATCCGGGTTTCTCTTATATCCGGGTCTCTTATATCCGGGTTATACTGTATTATTATTATAATTATTATTATCATTACGCTCTGTAGTCTACATTGAGCTCTCCATGGATTTATATCCTGGTTGGAATCATCCTATCAATCACAAATTGTAATATGCACACAAACACACACACTCATATATACACATAAACACACAAAATATATATATATATATTATAATATAATGTATATATATATATATATATATATATATATATATATATATATATATATATATATATATATATATTTTTTATATATATTATTTATATATTATATATGCTTCTTATTTTGTTTGATTGATGAGTTTAGACCTGCTATTTACGATCGTCAGACGATCCCAAATATCTTGAAACCCAGGATCATATCAATCCAACCCCCTCTCTCTCTCTTTTATATAATATATATATATGTATATATATATATAAAACTTTAAACGTTTTTTAAAATGTTAAAAAATCTGTCGGAATAACACACACACACATATATATATATATATATATATATATATATATATTTATATATATATATATATATATATATATATAATTATTCTTTTAAAGTGATGACTGGAATGTAAAATAAATGGTTTTCATTTATTTTACATCAACAATTATCACTTGATAAGACAATACTGAGGTGTTGAAACAAATTGGCTATTTTTGTAGGGATTTTTTATAACATATTTATGTTATAAATTTTTTTAAATAAATAATTATATCTGCTCTACTTTGAATTGAGCACTCTTTTTTAAGAATA